AAGTAGGGGTGTTAACGATCGGAATCAAGTCGGGCTTTGATCTTAAAAGGCTAAGTCTGTGTTTAAATGTGTCAGTCTGATCTAGCCTGTTATATGTTATGAATATAATTATCGACTTGTGGCATGACTTATTTACAAAAAAATGCTTGGTTTAGTCTATTAGCCTGTTAAAAAAATAAGACAACAAAAATTTATCCAAACAAAATATATGATCATCAACACTAATAATTCCACAAAAATTCATAAATTCAATGTATATCCAAACAAAATAATATAGAACAAAATCATTCAACAAGTTTGTTTAACCAATAAAATGGGGTGAAATGAATTGAGAAGAGAGGAAAAGCTATTATGAGTATTATAAAAAATTGATATTTAGGCTCACTGTATGAGTCAAAATTGTTTTTTCTAACATTAATCTTGAACAGCATGGACTTGTCAATAAGAACATCAAATTCTTTTGGATAATGTTCCAAATCAGCACCCTAGAAAAAATTTCCAAAAAAAGATGAAGATTCCAACCAATAAAAATATCAGAATTTAGAACTAATTAATATGACAAACAGTTGATGAACACAACGTTGGGCAAAAATAGAATACCAACCCTCTTGTATTGCAATTCACGCAAATCAGAAGCACTCATACCCAACAAAGTAACACAATCTCTATCAAAGAGAATGAACGATGCAGAATCGGTGTTATCAACAACTCTGACTTGAACACTGAATCTATAATATAATAATTATTATTATCAGCGTCAATTACGTAGTATAAGAAAACATTAAAAATAAAAATAATCTCACCTTGGTTGATAATCACTCCAATGTTTTTGGCAGTTTTTACAAAACCATTTATCATAATCTTCAAAAACAGGATACGGGCATTTCTTATAGGATTTGTACCACCAGTTGTACTTACTCTCAATTGCTTTGATAGTTCCGTAAGCAATACACGTCATAACCTGAAAAAAAAATGTATAACATTAACGACAATTAAAAATAAATAAATAAAATTTAAAAAAGATAGCATAACTTTATCCCAATCACAAATAATCAACTCGGTAGAAATTTTAATATCAGTAATACACTTTCTTTCTGTATTTTTAAGAAAATCATTCTCAAAGAAATATGTCGATTGAGTAGACAACTGGGACAATCCACGAATACAATCCGTTGAAACATTTCCAAGCCTAAAACAAAAACAAACGTAACATATAAATTACGAATCCAAACATACAAAAATTTCATAACAGAACTTATACTGAATAATAGAGTTGCAACGGTCATAAAAAATATTTCTTACTGTTTCTTGAATTCAATAATTTCTGTTACATTCGAATCCATAATGAGACGCGTTGTATATCTTGTATTAGTTATTGACTTTTGACCTACACAATTAAAAGTGAAAGAAAACGGAAAGAGCTACAGTTACAAAAAAAGTAATAGAAGGAGACAGACAAAATAGATATTTATGAAGACAAATACCTCTGAAATCCTTCATCTTTGCAAGATGAACTATTATAACATTCTGAGAAGCCTGATTATTTGCCAAAAAACTCTGCACTTCATCAACATAATGCTCCCACAATGTGCATTCAAGTTTGTGACCTCTTTTTCGCAGAGGTTTTTAAAAAAATATACACAACTCATTACGGACATCAATTTACCACACATAAAATAAGTATAACTCTTACACATGCGTTATTCAAAATCGTTACAACAAAAAATACCTGTGGTTATCAAGCTCCAGCACAATGTTTTTTGTTTTCCTACCAAACACATCATGCTCTTCAACTTAGTTCCAGTCAGTAAACCGATGACATCTACAGAAAAAATAATTCAGATGAATGAAAATATTTTTTTCCAAGTAAATAAATTATTTAAAAAAATAACAAAAGAATACATTACCCAATAAATAAGGAGAGGCCGTTTTTTGCTGTATAATAAAATCAAACTCGACAAAATTGAAACAATTGACAGGTATGGTAGCATCAACAATGGCCTTAACATCTGTCCTCAAGTTGAAAGAAATTTTGTAAACATGCCTAGTTGCCCTGAAACCTTCACCATTCAATCCAACTCCAAAATTTCTAATAATGTACGCTTCCCCTTCTATAAATTTTTTTCTAACTTGCAAAGTCCCTTTGACAGTAGCATGGATCGTAGAACCCTACACAATTCAAACATAAATTAGCAAGAATAATCGAAGAATTAGAAAAAAAAAAGAGCAAAATCAGTTTGCAACATAAAAAGAAAATACATGTTCATCTGCCAGAATCATCTCCAGATTGTCATCAAATCCCTTTTTCTCATAATTAGGGACCTTCCAAGTCCTAATGGCCCTAACCTTAATCCTCCAATCATCCTTAGAGGAATTTAGATCTTTTATAAAATCGTATTTTGAAAACATGACTAAAGCAGAAAGTAGAAGAAGGGAATAACAACAAGATACTGAAGAAGATGAATGAGTGGACCAGAGAAAAATGGAGGGTTCATATAAAAAATGATAACAATAGGGAGAGAAGGCATTAAAAGTCTGAGAGAGACATTGGGACATTCAAAACATTGAATAATTACTTTCAGTTTCCAATGGGGTACAACAGTTATTACGTTCATCAATTACCAATGAAAGAATTAGGTGGGATTTTAATTGGATTTCTGCCACCAATATATTTTCGGAATTAAAATTTTTCTTTATTCAGTATTTATTTGTTTAATGTTCGAAATTCAAATTTTAAATGTCTACCAAAACAGGAAACTTTTTAAATTGTTGTAGGTGTGAACACAAACCTCAGATTCAAGGAGAATGCGACACATCATCAAAGTTTCCAATAAACGGTTTTACTTTAGAATAATATATATATATATATATATATATATATATATATATATATATATATATATATATATATATATGTTTTAAAATCAAAGTTGGGTGGAGAGCTAAGCTCATGCTTAACTGAGCAATATATCTAGAATTAAGCTTTAGGACTTTTGGTAAGATTCCATCGATGGAGAGCAATCACTCCTTATGTTTTACCATGATCATGTCACGTGGAATATTTTAGGCATTCAATTGTAGATCAACAATCATAATTTTAATGAAAAAAGTTTATAAAATGAGAAAATAAAAATTAATACTTTAATTATTGACATTAAATTATAATTAAATGACTAAAATCTTTTATATAACATGGTTATATTAATACAAAACGTGAAAGAATTAAGGTGACTCGGAGATATGGAAAATAACTCACCTCAAAAAAGTAATTAGAATTGATATAAAAAAATAAATATAAAAGGATTATTTCCATTTTCTTTTTGTGTACATCACATAATCTCATTTAAATGACGTGTGACTTTTTATTAAACATGGTATTTAATTTGTTTTTATATATTACATTGCGAAAAATGAAGTAAATCTTTTATTTTTCCAATCACATTCAGTGGTTCAAATTTATCAAATTCATTACAAGTTCTATTTTGATATATTATCAGTGCAAATATTCTTTCCCACATTATGCTAACTAACATCTTATTTAATGAGATTTGTTATATTACTAATTATATAAGATATCAAATTTTTAAAATTCCATCAAAATTAAAGTTTAGAAACAAATAAATTTTGTGCTTTTGTGACATACCAGGAATTAAAAAACCAATGAACATTCAGTGGTGTTTGGTTGGAGCTTTTTGTGAGGATACCTACGTATATGAGATTGGGTTTTTGTATTATTCATGTTTGGTAAAAAAATTACAAAATTTTCCTAGCTAACTTGATTCCCCGTCATTTCATAATTGTGTGTAAAAATGAATGAAAAGCACTGTTCAACTTACCCACTTCTAACATGATATTTGGTAGAAAGCTAGGTAAATGGTAAAAAGCAACATATGCACAGTACAACTTACAACTTTTTCTCAGTAATATTTTACTCAACCAAACAACTTTTTTTACATTTTCTTACCAAACTTACTTTCAAACCATTTCCCTATCAATTACATTTTTCTTAATATTCAAAAAAAAAAATTCGTGAACCCAACACCCCTTATAAATTAAGGGGGGTTGGGAAATTAATGAGTATTACTTTTGGGCGAAAGTTTTGATTCTGTGAATTCATTGCAAATATCTGTAGAACTTAATTACATACCAAATTTTTTTTTAAAAAAAAACGAGAGAGAGAGAAGAGAAAAACCTATGTACTTTGTTAAAGCAATAAGGACGACAAGTGTTCAGTGAAAGCGAAAAATGGCAGAAGATGAGGAACTTGGCTTTGGCTCCAACTGCAAGGATGAGAGAGAGATTGATTCTCGCATATCTTAAATGACAGTGTGTAATTTGTTTTTTCTTGAAAAAGAAAAAGCAAAAAACAACAAAACAAAGCAAAATTGTGGAGATAGAAGAAGAACACAGGCTAGAGAATAATACATGAAAAATGACAAAAAAAAGAAAGAAAAGGAAATAATGATAATTGAGAAAAAAACTATCTCTACAATAATAAAGATTAAAAAAATTGGAAAGAGAAAGAAGATGGAAAAGAGAGAGAAACCTGTCTCGTGAAGCAGCAGGTGACGCTGAAGAAAAAGAAATTAAAAGCTTCCTCTTTTACTTTCTTTCTTTCTTCTTCTCTCTTTCTATATCTCTCTCTCTCTCTCTCTCTAAAAACGAAGTTTTTTTCTTTTTCCGTCTCTCTCTCTCTCTAAGAATTCTCTCCAACAACACTCACATTGATATTCTTTGCTTCATCCTTTTACATCACGAGATCCCCATCACTTTCTCTCTCTTTTTCTTCTTCTTCTTTTCTTTTGAGCTCGTGTTTGTGAATCTATGCTTCTGAGCTTCTTCTGAAGCCTTGCTGTGGTTTTATTCACTGGCATTGCTGCTCATAGAGTGAGAGTGAGAGAGAGAGAGAGAGAGGAAAAAAAAAAGAAACATAAAAAAAAAAAAAAAGAGTTTTTAAGATATACTGATAATACCCCTTTGTTGTTTGGTTACCGAGAAAAATGTCACATTCTAGGAAACCCATTACCGAGTTAGGGCTCAGCGATCGCTTCCGTGACTCACTGAGTTGCGGCGACGACGCTAACAAGCCCGATTTCCGAGAACTCGATCTGGGTTCCCCCGTTTCGCCATTGCGGACCCGACACAACCAGAGTGCAGCAGCAGCCACCAGTAGCAGCAGCAGCTCCGGTTCGACCGGTTCGGTTTCCGGCCGAACCGGGAACAACCAGGTTGCGAAGAGATCCCATTCCGGCGAGCTATCCGGGTCCAGTGAGAACAACAGCCCCACCCGGAGTTTCAAACCGGGTCATCGGAGATCCGATTCGGGTACCTTGCAGCCGTTAATCTATTCCGGCCAAAGCCAGAGATCCCCCTCCTCCTCCTCCGTCCCCGCCTCCTCCGCCGCCGTGAATTCGCCGCCGCTGAACGTTCTTCCTGCCGGAAATATATGCCCGTCTGGCAGGGTTCTCAAGGCCGGCATGGCGGCGGCACCGAGCCGCAGCTCTCGAACCGATGTTTTGGGCTCCGGCATGGGGAATTACGGCCATGGAAGCATAATGCGGGGTGGAAGAGGTGGCTGCGTAGCCGCAGGAGAGGCAGCGAGTGCGAGGTTGAGTGATTCTGTGAAGAGGGTGGATCCAGAAGAGGTGAAGAGAGCAGGGAATGAAGAATACAAGAAGGGGCACTTTGCGGAGGCATTGAGCCTGTATGATCGGGCAATTTCGTTGTCTCCCGGCAATGCCTCCTACCGGAGCAACCGCGCGGCGGCATTGACCAGTATGGGACGGTTGGCGGAGGCGGTGAGGGAGTGTGAGGAGGCTTTGAGGTTGGATCCTAATTATGCAAGGGCACATCAGCGTTTGGCCACTCTTTTTCTTAGGTAAGAAAGTAATAAGAGTTAGCATGAACATTTATATCGGTTTTCTTTTTGGTGGTTCATTTGTGGAGTGTGAGTTGAATTTTGGATTAATATTAGATGATAGATGCTATTTTATGATGTGTTTTGGATTTCTTGCTTTGCATTGTGTATGGCGTGTTATTGATATGAAAATTATGTGGTAAAATCTTCCATGTCACAGGTTGGGATATGTTGAGGATGCTAGGAAACACCTATGTTATGGCGGGCTTCGGCCGGATCCTTCAGAGTTGCAGAAGTTGCAGATAGTGGAAAAGCATATTAGGAAATGTGTAGATGTGAGGAGAATAGGAGATTGGAAAAGTGTTCTGAGGGAAGTTGATGCTGCTGGTGCTGCTGGTGCAGACTCTTGTGTTGGGGTATTTTTTGTTAATTTTTTAACTTTTTGATCATATGTGAGTTGAACATGTTATGGAGGTGTGAAAAGTGTAAACCAATGTCTGAACATGTTGGAAATTGAATTTACAGCTATTTATGTGTAGAGCAGAGGCACTTCTGAAGCTCCATCAAATTGATGATGCCGAATCAAGTTTATTGCATATACCCAAATGCGAAGCGAATACCATTTCCTCATCACAGGCAAGATTCTTTGGGATGCTCTCCGAAGCTTATTGCTACTTAGTTAGAGCTCAGATTGAGATTGCTTTAGGAAGGTGAGTTCAGAAATTGTAAGCTTCATCAAGAATCTAAGCTGGCAAAGGTTTCTGTTGGAGAGTGAGAATGGATGATGGATGTGTTGCAGGTTTGAGAATGCAGTTACTGCTGCTGAGAAAGCAAGTCAGATTGATCCCCGAAATGTTGAAGTTGCTGTTTTGCTCAACAATGTAAGGATGGTGGCAAGAGCTCGAGCACGTGGGAATGATCTTTTTAAGTCAGAAAGGTTCACTGAGGCATGCTCAGCATATGGTGAAGGTTTGAGGCTTGACCCTTCAAACTCTATTCTCTATTGCAATAGAGCAGCATGTTGGTTTAAGCTTGGGCAATGGGAAAGTTCCATTGAAGACTCCAATCAAGCTTTACATATCCAACCAAATTACACAAAAGCCATTCTTCGAAGGGCTGCCTCATATAGCAAGGTAAATTTACTTCTTATTCTTTTGTGATACAGTCTGTTTGTCATACTCAAAGGTAAGTGGAGTCATCTCTTGATTTTATATGCAGTTAGAAAGGTGGGAAGAAGCAGTAAAAGATTACGAGCTCTTGCGTAGAGAACTACCGGATAACAATGAAGTTGCTGAGGCTTTGTTTCACGCACAAGTTGCATTAAAGAAATCTCGTGGGGAAGAAGTGCATAATTTAAAATTTGGTGGTGAAGTGGAGAACATATCAGGCCTTGAGCAGTTTAGAGCTGCAATTTCTTTACCAGGTGATTAAAATGGTTGAGGATAGGCTTATGCAATTCATTTTACAGCTCCATTATTATGCATATTTCCTGATATTATCTCTAGTTTTACAGGTGTTTCGGTTGTCCATTTTCAAGTCGCATCCAACTTGCATTGCAAGCAAATATCACCATTTGTGGATACACTATGTGGTCGCTACCCATCTATTAACTTCCTCAAGGTAGCTCATTTCACACCCTGTTTCGGACTAGTTTCCCTGATATTTAATTTAGAGATAAAGAAAGCATTATGATACTATTCTTATGCATGCAATTTTGTGTTTGATCAAAGGTGGATATTCAAGAAAGCCCAACAGTTGCTACTGCTGAGAATGTTAGGATTGTACCAACCTTCAAGATCTACAAAAATGGCAGTCGCGTGAAGGAAATCGTATGCCCTAGTCGTGAAATGTTGGAACACTCTGTTAGGCATTACAACTTGTAGAACTCATTACTTGTTCTGTTTCTCTGTTGTCTACTGCATTTCTATCTTGCTGTCTATGCCTGCACTAGAACTCTCCAATGTTCATCCAGTCTTATATTCCCACCATAAATTGATCTCCTGATACCTGTTACATAGACAGAACCACATAATAAACATGTTAGCATCCAGCGCCAGTGGAACCTTAAGAGATACTCTAGACCTAGTTCCTTTTGCAGTTTTTATTTATTCATTCATTCGTCATTGCTCTCTGGTTCCATGTTCCTCCAGCTTTCCCCTTGTCAATTTTCTTTACTCTTCTCCTTTCCAGTTCATGTAGGCCAGTTGTTCTTGTATCCCCATTTTCTTTATAGAAAAAGGGCAAATTCAGATGCATAGGGCTCCCCGACTTTATGGTTGAAAAAAAAATAAAAATAAGAGATCCTTTTTATGATTGTACAATTGATTAAATTGTCAGTTTTTATCACCTTTAGGATAGATAAATAGACAGATATAGAAGGAAGGAAGGAAGGGGAGGTTGGTCTGCTGTTAAAGGAGGATCTGTAGATGTATATATGTGATTATATCCTAAACACTGGAAGCCTTTGAAGGAGGAGATAAGGATGTGTGGTGGGTACCTACTGGGTTGGTGAAATGAGGATGAATTTGTTATTATTTTTCTATCTTAGCCATTTGATCAATAAAATTTCCCATTTTTCTGTTCTTTCCATATTATCATAACCATTCTGTTTTCTATATACACTGAATCAATGTACAATGATAAAGTCTTGTGAAAGAATTGTCATTTATGATTTATGTATTGGGCAGAGCTATGATGTACCAACACTTTAAAAACCCGTGTCGTGTCCGATATTCTCTAACACTCTTAACATGCATTACATAGACTCAAAAAAGGGTTTGAAAGTTGCGTTGCGTTGTGTTTTTAGTTTCAATTATTAAATTCGTTGGATTACTATTATTATTTTATTGAGTTTAATATAAATATTTGGAATATCTTATGCTCTTTTGCAAAATTGATGGATATTATAAGTTTAGTTTTATTTTTGTTAAATTATTGAATATTAAATATAATATATATTATATATTTTATTTTTATTTAATATTAGAATGTGTCATAATATGTCAAAATTTAATATTTTTTACAATTAACGTGTCTCATGTCCGTGTTGGTGTAACATAGGGGCAGAGATAGAAAAAGATGACTTGGTCTTGAGATTGGGAAGCAGGGGGTTATGGCATTTAAGTTGATAGCTGGTTTTTTATGTTTAAGTTATTGAAGATTCGTTTTGTTAGAGTGGAGTGGACTTGGGTGGTTGATACAATTCGTAACTCCTATCTTTTTATCATTGTACTATTATAATGGAAGGTGGACCACCAAATCATATTTGATTTAACAAATCAATCTTGTTCATAATTTATACCAAGTAAGATGAAACATGGCAAGCACAATCATAAAACTAATGTGAGAGAGATTGTGACCTTTCAAGAAGAGGGTTTATGTTCACGTGGCATTTAAGATGCTACTCTCTTTCAAAGGGAGCAATCAATCTTAAAGATTTTAGATGCTTTGACGAAGATTGATTTGATCTTTGGTTGGATTCAAATTCAAAACCACGATTCAATCAGTCAGAAAAACAAGTTTAGAACAAATTAATTTATTTTTAAAAAAAATTAATGAGAATATGGAATAGAGTCTTTATCTTGTTTTGTTGTATTTTTAAAATGTATTAACAAAAGAATAGAACCCTATGTCTTAGCTATCAAACACGTCTATCACAAACGCATTTGATGTTCTCGTAATGTGTTGCGTTGTAGAAGTAGAAGCCTCCATAATCAACTTCTGCCTCTCTTTTTTTTTAATTTTTTTTTTCTTTAGCCCTTTGGAAAATGATGACAATGAGATAAATTGTAGGTTCAAGTGACCAATGTATAAAATTAATTTGCATTGAAGTTAGGTACTTTTAACCTACCTTAGCTTCAATTTCAAAGTCGAATATACGTGTGAAGGTAGCCATAGGACTAGGACTTGTCGCAAGTATAATAAATAAAGAAGGCTTAGTAAATTGGTGGTACTACTACTACCAATACATTCAACCCATTGCTAGTTTAGGTTAAAGAGGATTGGAAAAAAGATCAAAAGGGTGAAAATAAAACTTGACGGTGAGAATTCCCATTCCCATTTGCATGGTGTGAATGAACAGAACACTAGCGTGTGGACACTAGAAAAAGTGTGTGGACACTTGTGTCTCTCAAGTCAGAATGCGCGTGTCGGCGCGTCCAACTGTCAAAACCACCGGCATTCATATAGGGAATGGCCAGCAATTAGAGCATTGTAAAAAGCGAAAATCATGAGAAAAACGATTTGAATCTTCTGACGTGAAAAAGTGGTATATAATTATGTTATTTAATCACAACTATTCATTGACAATGAGATAAAAATAAGAAAAATATATAATTTTTAAATGAGTAATTATAATTAAATAATATGATCATGTAATTATTTTTTCGCAGGAGAGGAACCAAATCTTGAAAAAAGATACAAAGGAAACAAAAAAGAAAAAGGACAGGCTATGGCTAACGTCGTAGGCTTAATACACACAGAAAGGTGAGTCTCGAGGCTACGTTATGTGCTGTGGCAATATGGTCCATCTCATGCCACAGTACGACACCACTTTGTACATTGTACCACAACATCATCAAATGGCGTTGTGAAGGCTTAAACAAGAATATAGCCGTTGTGGCTGATACTCACTTTGAATACGATACTGCAGGCTCTTGAGAAAGAGAGGGTTGTCACTGTCGTTTAGTTAGTCTAGTTTGAACTACGAGCATTATGTTTTGAGGGTCATTTTCGGTTATTTCTTCTTTCACTTTCTTATTGCATGAATGCTATTGATTTGATGATGTTAATTTGTCATAGCTGCTTGGACTTTTGCCTAAAATATGACGTGTTGTTAGAAAAAAGAGAGAGGTTTGTTTAGCAGAACCATGGGAAGGAGTAATGATGATGCAGAGATGCATTAATATATATGAGAGTACTAGACTAGTAGTTCTCATACACCTCTACAACAAAAACATTATCTTTTCTTATTTTGCATTTCATTAGTTTGCATATACAAATTGTACCCACCTTTCAAATTGTACTCACCTTTTACCCCCTTTCTCTTACGATACATTTAGGAAGCGAATGGAATACTAATCCACCCTGTTACACCTAATAATTGAGGGTGAATAATAGCTTTAAACGACTAACTATTAGTATAAATGTTAGCATCCTTAAACATCCGTGTCTGGCTTTTGAAGCGCACAATTTCGCTGCAAGGTACCATTAACAGCCTCATTCATAGGAGGGCAATCTCTAGTTTTTTTGGAAAAATGTGTTGTTTGGCTTTAGCCACCCGTCTACACTGCATTTGGATGGCTAGGAATTTGCTAATTTTTAAGAATACCCCACTTTTTGATGTAATTGACAAGATTAAATTTCTTGTTTATAAACACTCACTTGATGCATCTGTTTTAGGCACATGCTCTTGGTGCATCTGTTTTTGGCTCTTGCACCTAGTGCATATGTTCTTTGTTCATTTCTGCTGCAGGGTATGCTCCATTTCCGTTGTAAATTGTTTGAGTTAATACATATTTACATTTTTCCAAAAATAAAATAAAAATGTTAGCAGCCTTAATCCCAATACAAATCCAAGCACTTGGAATGCCTAAATTGGCAGAATTGCTGTGAAATTAATGAAATACAAACATTGCTCAAAACCATGACTTTCAACTACGTGTTTAAGCATGGCCCAATTTGACCTTTTGCCCACAGGCTCCCACCCTCTTGTGTTTCTAATATTCTTCGGACCAAAATAATTACAGGCTCTAAAGCCCGTATGTTGCTTTTTTATGTTCTTATTTATAAGACTTAAAAGGCCAAATAAGAGATGCTATTTATAACGGTATCACTGCATGAACGCGCTTAATCCGTACTCCTACAGTGACCGCACCTATTATTAACTTTCAATTGCTTTAAGCTTGCTAGACAATAACTAAAGAGCATACCGTGTAAGATGATTGACATGTAACTCAGAAGAGACATGAATGCAAGTTTAGAGGAATTTAATGAAATATGTTTTAGTCTATTCAATGCCGGGAGCGTGAAAAGACCTTTAGGGATTAAAGATATAAATTCGCAAAAAATAAAAATAAGTCACTCATCGCACCTCCTGAAGAGGTTAATCCTGAAAGAAAGCAAATCCGGTAAAACAAATGCAACTGTTAATTGCAACAGTCCCAAATTACTTAGCAGTAGGCAGACAAATGATCAATACATATATTAATAATACAAGTTCCAAGATAAGGCGTCTTCCAAGAGAATCAATTAACAGTTAACCGGAAGCTACGAGGAATATTAACCCCAAAAGTTCAGACATCAATTCTTCCAAATTTCCAATGTGAATTAACGGTCACTATTGTTATTTGGTTTGAACCCCATCATCAGGCGCCACTAGCATATAATCGGGTCCATTCCTTTGCTGCAAATTCCAATGCCATGCCACATTTTAACGAGTATATAAATATCGAAAATAGATCCTCTCATGATAATGAAAATTTTGTATCTATGTCTTTCATCATAAAATTAAATAAGTAGGATCCTATCAAAATTTATGAATACCTACGACATCAAAAATAGACACAAATTTTTCACATAGAAGGTCATGTGTTTGTCTTGTAGAATTATAATATTAGAGATCCATACCCATAATTCACATGCAGAAAACATACCTGTTTCAACAGCCTCGGCCTCATTAGATTTCCAATGCTTGGCAATGTTCTCGGAAAGTGGATCATCTGGGTTTGGTGCACTCAAAAGAGCTTGAATGCTAGCAGAGTGCCAATAAATTCATATATTCAGCACATAATATTCTTTCCAATTAAGAACAGGTTAATTCAGATAATTAAGAATTTTTTCTTTTTCCAGACTTGCAAATTTGCATAATGCATATTTGTATTTCTCTATGTATGTATCATCACATGTTTTAGGAAAATTCAATACGAAGGTCAAGACTGTAAACCAATTACTATTAGCTCTGTCCCATTTCTTCAAGAAAAAAATAGGTCCACAGAACATGGGCATATCCAGTAAGCTAAAATACAACAAATAAAGATACCTCAAAAGAACAGTGCGTATCTGAAGAGCAGGACTCCACTTATCTTTCAGAATATCAAGACATATCCTGCCAAGCTAAATTTAAACAAGAACTTGTAAGAGAAAAATAACTACTGAAGAAGAAATGAGAATTTAGGGGAAGCAACATGTACCTTATCAATGTTCGGATGATATATTTTTGTCAGAAACCTAACCTGTAAAAAGTAATGCACATATGAATCTAATGAGAAGATATCATTATTGTCAGAATCTGAAGGAACCCAGAAAAATACAACACTGAATTCATTAGCAATGGAGGCATAGCCTCTTTTTACATACACTGATACAATATAAAATGCAAAAAATAAACCCAAAAAATCTCAACTCTCCCTCAAACCAACACACCTAGGCTCAAGAGTTTCCAAGAGGTTTCTTAATTTCCCCACTAAACCAATACTCAATACCTGCCTCCCTACTCAAAGTGAGAGAGCATGAGAGAAGTTATCTCCTATGAAAGGAGAGTAATAAAGCCCATATATATATATATATATATATGAAAAAGGGACTAACACAATGCTATTAGCTTTTCACGACTCAGTCCTAAGACAAACCGTACGGTAATTATTTCTCATTTCATTAATTCTTGTTTTTACTACCTTCCCCCAAGTAAATTTTTACCAATCTCTTCCTTTCTTTGTGTCATGCTTACAATAACAAACCTATGTTCTTATCGGAGCCTCTTAAGAGTTCTTCGAAGAAATGCCCAAATAGACTCAAACTATGCTCTCTTATCTTTATTTCCACCGGTATTGCTACAACTTTTTATTGAATATCTTCATTTCTTATCTTATCCATCCTTGTATGACCACACATCTACCTTAACATCCCTATTTCAGTTATTCTCATTTTATGTTCATGTTGCTTCTGTGCTAGCCAACAATAGTTGTGTATAGCATTGCAAACCTTGTCTATAAAATTTACCTTTTAACCTAAGAGGGATTTTCCTCTAATTCTATGACTTACATCCTCATCAATCTCTCCCCTCTTTTGCAACATTGATCCAGATATCTAAATGCATTTTTCTTGGATACTTCTTATTCTAACATATTAACGGATTCTTGATTTCCTCTCTTCCCATGGAAAACTCACATGTCATGCATTCAGTCTTACTTCAACTTAAAATAAATTCTTTAGACTCTTATGTGCTTCTTCATAATTCTAATTTAATATTAACATCAGCTCTGGTCTCATCAATAAACATGATATTATCTACTAAAAACATATATCATGGCACCTCATCTTGGATATGTTTAATTAGTTCATCCATAACTAGGCCAAAAAGATAAGGACTCAAAGCTAAACCTTGGTGTAAAGCAACCAAAATTGGAAATAACTTGACCTATGTTACAACCAATTCAACAATTCTAGGAAAATTGAAAGGAATAGTAGCAAAATTGTATTCAAAATCCGAACCAGTATTGAAATTACACTGAAAGATCAAGATACACCAAAAATCAGATGTTCACAAATTGTTAAAAAAAAAAAATGTAGATTCATAGGAGTTGGAGAGCCTCTAATCTCACCCAAGTCCCAAAAGATCCTTTTCCTTGTTGATGGTTCACCCTTTTAAGGGACCTGAGTGGTGCATTCCCTCCTTTGTCCACTCCATAACTGCTCCCCTCTCTAACCAAAATGGGGAATATTATCCCTTGCTGACTCAGTATGCCAAAGAGCTAATAATCCCCAATACCTCTTCCAAAAATACAATCTTATGCTTGGTTTCTGATAAGTCCATGATTAGTGACTTAGAACATCTAGTTTGATGTTAAAATGGGAATGAAAAGGATATCTTTTGTTAATATAAACCCCAAATATTGCATAGAAATGAAGGATTCTGATTTTGAGTGCTAATGGGCTGGTTTTGTATTTTTCAGGCCCAATTGGTATTATTTCTACAAGCAAAGAGAAGAAAGAAAAGCTTGGACTGAGTTACAATACAAGTCAGAAAAGAAAAGAAGAAAAGAAAAGAATAAAGGAAGAATGGGCCGCTCCTTGCTGATCAGAAGCCCAAATCGAAGGAAGAAAGAAGCAATTTTGGGAGAAGCCCAAATCAGAAAAGAAGGAAAAGAAAGGAATGGGAAGCAAAAGAACTCAGTAGCGTGAAAAGTTGAAATAAGGAAAAAACCCTAGCACATCAAACCGTTCAAGCAAACCCACCTCCATTTAGACCCTCATCTCAACCGATCCTTCTAAATCCCTTCACCGATCTAGACCGTCCTTCAATTTCGGTCGAAATCACAGAACCCTAGCGTCACTCACGGTTCAATTCTTGAATCAAACCAACCAAAACATAAACCCTAACCGATTTTTGTGCGATACAGAAAAATCCAAACAAGTCCCTCAATCGACTTGATGAGCTGGAGTTTGTTAGTAGTGGTGGCTGGAGATTCCTTTTGGTGCGTTGCTAATCGTACAAGGGACACGCACGATTAAGTGGAGCGAGGAGCATACGTACGTTTTGAGGAGGTGACCTGGGATCAGCTATAAAGGAGGAGATAAAAGCATTTGTAGGTGACTTCTCCTCTCTTTCTTCGGGGAGTTTTTCTTTTCCTTTTGGGAAATTTTTATTTTACTGTTCTCTGTTATGTTTTTAGGTTTTTAGAATTCTATAATTTTTGTAAGCACTGTTTCAGAGCTAATTGTTGAAGATAGCCTCTGCCTTTATATTTTGCTAGTCGTACGTTTTAAGTTGTTGTTTTTATTATGTACCTTTGCTGTTTGTTAGCTCATCAACCTGTGGTGATGAGCTAATTTTCTTAGAGTTGGGTTGAAAGAGTACCCGGAACTCATTTGTTATTAGTGATGTTTTAAAGTTTAAAGTGTTGATTCCAGTTTGTTTACTGTGCGTTTTTTTTTGCTGAGTTTATTATGTGATGATCACACATAGTGAGATTATTGGGAAATAACTCACACTAGACCCCACTGTGAGCACATGGAAAGTTGAGAGAGATCTCTCTCAATGGGTATGGCTCCAGGGATGAAGTTACCCCCATGTAACTTTAGGAAATGGTACTTCAAGGTCCTATGACAACAGTGACATAGGGATATGTCATCTGTTGTTATTGGAAGAAAACTGTTGTTGGGAAACAATAGTTATTTTAGTATTTTCGTTAAGTTGGAAGCAATAACTATTTTCTGTCAAAGCATCCTAATGGCAATTGAAGGAAGGGGAAATTGACACCCAACTTGCTTCCAAATTCTGTTTTCAAAACCGATCCTTGTTTTCCTTTTGTATTTTCATCCATATCTGAAATTACTTTTCTGTTTTAAAACTTAACCCCCTTTGTGAGGAGGCACCCCTTATCCCGAAGTTACGAGGCTATTTTGCCGAGTTCCTTAGAGAGAGTTGTCTCGCGCCTCTAGGTATTCTCTACCTACCCACCTGTGTCATTAAAAAAAAATATTTTACAAGTCTTTTAGTTAAGTAATTTTCTAGGCAGTAGTTAAAGATCCTTTCACCAACTAAAATCACTGTTTTAAAAAGAGAAAATTTCCATAAAAACATTTTCAGTACACTAGTTTAGAATAGTAGTAGCATTTAATTTGATTTTATTTTATTTTAGTTCTGTTAGCAATTACTAATTTATTCCAAGTCAAAACGCCAAAGATCCTTGTGGGAACGATAACTGGGATTCATAAAAAGCCCTATATTACTTGTTGTCGCGTATACTTGCGCGCATACTTGCATAACTGTTAGCAAGACAACAAGTTTTTGGCGCCGTTGCCGGAGATCGAAGGCGTACATTGTCAATTTTCTGAGTGATTGTTGTTTCTGAGTTAATTCAATTTTCTTTTGTTTTTATTTTTAGTTTTATTTTAATTCTGTTTCTTTATTGTGTTAGTAGCTACTCCTGAATTTTCTTGAATAGTGGTCATTTGATTTTTGTTCTTTTGATATTCTGTTTTATTTGCATGTTTTATATAGTTGTTTTGTCATTTAATTTTTTAGTTTATTATTTCATTGTTGTTACTTTGGTTCTTAATTTTTTCATGTCAATCTTTTATTTTTATTTCTAGTTTCATTCCCTTAGTCTAATTTTTTTTTACTGTTCTATAACACTATCTGTTTGTGGTTACTGTTGCTGTTGCAAATTCTTTTCTGTTCGGTTGGTTGTTTGATTTTTTTATTTTAGAAGATACTGAATAGGAATTTTGTTTGCTTAAGCTAGGTAGATTTTTTTTTAAAAGGGTGCATGAGTACAACTCCACACCCTTTCTTAGAATCTTTTGATCCGGAACCTGAAAGGACATTCAGAGTTAGGAGGAGAACGCAGAGAGCAAATAGGCAGAATTTACTTCCAGATTTTGAAGAAATGGAGGATTTAGGAAATGTAAATGGGAATGATGGGGTAGGAGGACCTGCAAGGATAGAGAACTCACCAGTAATAGATGACAATGATAGGTCCATGATGGACTCCATCATACCTGTTTTGGATGAGTTAGACCCAAGTATTGCCCAACCTGTTAATGGAGTGCCCTTTAAGTTAGAACCGGTGATGTTCACCATGCTCCAAAATATGGGGCAGTTTCATGGTCTGTTGATGGAAGACCCACACAAGCACCTTAGGAATTTCATAGAAGTGGCCAACACTTTTAGGAATCCTAACATCTCAGATGATGTACTTAGATTGAAGCTCTTCCCTCATTCACTGGCTGACAAAGCCAAAGAGTGGTTGAACTCCCTTCCATCCAACTCCATCACCAATTGGCACACATTGGCTGAAAAATTTATCATGTAATTTTTCCCATCCAACAAGATAGTGCAAACTAGATGTGATATCACCAACTTCATGCAGAAGAATGGTGAGACCTTAGTGGATGTGTGGGAGAGGTTTAAAATCCTTCTTAAGCAATGCCCCAACCATGGTTCGCCTTCTTGGGCAGTGTTACAGATCCTTTACAATAGCCTGAATACTCAAAACAAAGCCTTAGCAAATTCTGCTGCTAATGACATGTTTATGTCCATGTCCTTTAATCAAGCCCATGAGTTGTTGGAACAAATGACTCAAAATTATGCCCAATGGCCAAAAGAGAGAAATCAGTCAAGGAGAGTGGCTGGTTTGCATGAGGTAGATTCTGTAACAGCCCTTTCAGCCAAGTTTGATGCACTGTCCACCTTAGTGAAAAACCAAGGACAAGCCATTGAGGTAAGATT